ATGGAAATTGTCCATGAAAGTGAATTTTTTTTTTTACAATTGGTTATGAAATTTGTTTATATTGCCAAAAAGTCAAAAAAAAAAAAAAAATTTTAACGTGAGCAGTGGGAAAAGCTTTTCCCACCAAAAAGTTGGGAAAAGTTTTTCCTTAATTATGAAGAAAACAGGAGCGTGAGCCCAACCATGGCAAAATGTTTTCTTGTCAAAAAATGCCCTATCAAACACTACTAAAAGAGGGAAATAGAAAATGGTTTCCATTTTCCCTAGAAAAACTCACCTATCAAACATGCCCTAAGGGTCCGTTTGATTGCAAGGGTTGAAAATGGGTGGAAAGAAAATAAATTTCAAGGAAAGTAATTGCCTAGAAATTATTTTGCATGGAATTGTTAATTAAGTGTGTTTGATTGGTCTAATTTTCCACCCGGAAAATATTAAAATTTTGTATTCGTTTGACTTTATTTTACATGAAAATTGTTCATTAAAGTGATAATTCTTTCCACAATTGGCTATAAAATTTGTTTCCATTGTCAAAACGTAAAAAACAAAACGAAATTCGTTTTCCTTTAAAAATCATTTTTTTATCAAAGTTTAGTATTCGCTTAGATTTGTTTTACATGAAAATTGTCAATTAAAGTGAATTTTTTTTATAATTGGTTATAAAATTTGTTTCCATTACAAAGAAGAAAAAAAAACATGAAATCAGATTTCTCGCCATTTTAGTGGGAAATGGGGCGCGTGAAGCCCTTGAGTGGAAAATCAATTCCCAAGAATTTTGTGCCTATCAAACAAGGCTTTTTGTCGGAAATGGAAATTATTTTCCATAGAAAAAGTGCATTATTAAATAGGGCATAAGGTCATTCAGCCTTTCAAACTCTTTGTTAGAACACATTTAAAAAATATAGGCTTTAAATTGCCTATTTAGTCACTGAACTTTCTGCCATGCACGTCAGGGGTCACTGAATTTTCAAAATTCATTGAGTTGTCTCGCCACGTCAGCTGCTACGTGGAAATTTCGTCCAATTTATCAATGGTTGTTTGCTCAGTAACTTCTGGGATGATGAATTGTAAAGTTCAGTGACTAGTTGCGTTATTTTGAAAGTTCAGCGCCCCTTTGCGTGGATGGCTGAAAGTTCAGTGACTAAATAGGCAATTCACTCATAAATATTGTGCCGATTATTCTGATTATATATTTAATGTAAATTCATATAAATGATAACTATAGTCGATCTGATCCGTTTGATCTAATTGAGTGGTTTAAAAATTATCATCCCTTTAGTCAGAGAGGTCCTAGGCCCCATTGAAATATGGAAAATAAAAATATATGAATTATTATTAGATTTTGTGTGAAAAGTGAAAATGTTAAAAACTTCCATTTTTTTATATTTTTATATTTTACTAAATTAGAAAAATTTAAGTAATGGAAAAAAAAAAATCAATAACATAAAAGATTGAGTACATCATCCTTAAGTTCACTAATCAAATGGAAAATCCAAGGAACTCTATTGGGGAAAAAATAGCGATTCGGAAGAAAATTTAGTCCATTAAATCTTGAGATTGTGATTATGTGATTCGATAGGTTGTAATGCATGTCTTCAACCTTTCACAAATAAAAGGCTCGAACCCTACACAAACGAGATCTCGAGTCAATAAGTAAGAAATTAATAATTCTCCCCCTATGTTTGTCTAACTTAAAACAAGAAAGAATGA